CCAACCTCGCGTTAGCTCAACAATATCACTTTGTAAGGTCATGTAAATATATATATATATATATATATATATTGACTTGATGGATCGATAGGCCTCCGAAAATCATTATATAGGACCAATATACATTGAACTATCCGCATGGCATATCCATAAGGGAATGATCAACGCTGAGCCCTTTGCTTTTTTTACAAGTATTCTACCATTTAAGATTAGCCATTCAAAGTGGACTTCACGGCAACGGTGTAGGTTCTTCAACAGAGAATGGAGTTACAAGTTTCTCTCCTTCACTGATGATGAGAAATACTTAGTTGGAAAGTGAATGAAGGGATTTCGCTATGTAAAGTTTGCCTAAGTGGTACTGCTTTATAGAATCGTACCTATAATGGGATTAGAAAAGTAGCCTATTGTGTACTGTAAAGCTCCTGAACCGCGTCACGTTACGACTCCATAGATTGGCTTTTTAATTCATATAAAGGATAAATAAAAGGAGAAAGCTCTCGGCGTAGATCAATCCCTTAGTGATGCGCCATGCATTCGACTTCATTAAGCATCGTTGGAGGTAATTGAATGCATATGTGCCCTTTACAATGACTCACGGTGGCCTACCGATGTATCAGGCCATTGCTGCTATTCTCTCAGACTACTCTGGTACCAATTTACCGACCCTGGAAAGATGGAAGGCTTGGTGCGCCACTGGCGCTGGATCGATGCCATCTGTGTGTCGCAGGGCGCCTCCGACCACTGCGACCTTTAAACCATATACTATAATAAATTTATATGTTATAGCAACTACTCCTCGAATAGTTTCTTTTTTCCATATTACCGCGTGTTTCCTAAACTAACTGTGTCTGCTGCTGGCCATATTTATCGTTACTTTGTAAGCTATTGTATCCCTTTCAAATAAGCTTCCAATACCACTTATTCTTTCGCTATTTGATGGACTTTCTATTCAAACCTTTGTATCACTTTCATATGAACTTTCTATACAAATTATACCAACGTTGCTATTTGATGAACTTTTATGTTAACGAAGCTTCTTGCTTATCGTCTTATTTGATGAATTTCACCGTACGCACCGCGTCATACTTTGTAGCTGCTCTACCACGTTGCGCTAACTGCTGGGAGACCTAGAATATCCGTTCGAGCAATAACTCTAGTTTCTTCTGTCAAAACTCCGCCAATTAGAAAAGGAATATAAGAAACATTATTATTCACCTCGGTTTGTTCGCCTAGGTACCCTTAGAGCCCCAGTGTTCGGCCAGATGTACAACACATTTACTCCTGATTCCTTCTGAAACATTTATTAGAATCTGCACGTCTTTACCAACCCAATAAATGATTACCCACTCTATCAAGATGAAATCCTACTTCCCCAGAACCTGCGCATTTATTCCGCTTTATCGTATTCTACTTGTATTTAAAACGAGAAAGCAATTGAATCGGTGGGACTTCGTCGAACAGAGCATGATGATGTTCCCCAATGCATGGCTGGTTTGTGTGATTGTCGCATTTCCGCGGGAGATTTTAAAAACTTAAACTTCGTATTCAGTTTTATTGAGACTTTCATTGCTAACCACACTTAAAATTGGAAGAATCTTTATATATAAACCTTTGGGGTGATAGAGTAAAGCCTTTCTGTTCATTTCTCTGGATGCGAAATGCCTTATTTATCAAAAAAGCATCTCCATCGCGAAAGGTTTAATCAGGTTAATAATGTTAAGAGGCATTTTTGAGTTGAAAACGGCGAGATGTATAAGGTGCGATAGAGATGCCACTCGCTGCATATTCTAGCACTCGCTGGTTTGTTCATCTCGTCGGTGGGTTCCCAACTCGAACGCTTCAACTTTTCAAGTCTGAGCACCAGTTTATAGTTGCGGAACAAGAACCTCTAGTCGTTCCTACCTACCGTAATGAAATTGATATCGCCGTGTTAACCAGTCAACGACGTTTCATAGTTAATTTCTATGGAAGTCATAGTATGTTACTACATTACTCCTGAGCAATTTCTGGAAAATTCTCACATTCTGGCCACAGTCGTTTAAGAGCTAGGCTTCGTATAGAGTACAATCAGTACTTTGACGAAATCCATTGCGTAGATCTATATGTTTCGGATTCGGGTTCTTATCTTTATAAACTCATTGTTCCTCTACCTGAATATGAGAAGTCGAGAAAATTCAGAGTATCGGTGAAATAGTTTTAGAGTATCGAACTGTCTTTAATCAATATGGCTCTTCTTTTCACCCAGACGGACAAATCGACGATTTCACTTTCATCTCACACAATGAGAACAGGATTCTTTCGATGAGAATATTGCGGCCAAACTCAGTCAGAATCGCGGTGCATAGGACGTCCAAGCAAGGAAACGCCCACGACTCACAGCATGAATACGCCGAAACCCAGCGAAATTCCAGAGTTTTCGACTTGGGGAACTTTGAAAATATACAGCCACATTAAAATAATTAGCTTTAAATACTAAGTTTGTGATATTAGGTTTGAATAGGTCAGTCCAAGATGATCAGTCTTCAGGATTTTCAACGTTAACCTCCCATAATTCTCATGTCAATTTATAATATAATTTGATCAGTTATCGATTATTGTTATCACGAATGGATTGCCATTTTTAAAGCCAGTCACGTGGAGAAGGCAATATTTAATCAATGCCTTAAAAATTTGGAACTGTGAATTTTGTTGTTGTTACCTAAGGGAGAGCGGATGACATGGTCTACAGGCGAACAGAAATTTCAGCATCGTGTCGGCATCGAGGGCCTCGACACTTTAAACAAATAAAAGGACAATTCCCTTGGCGTTGATCTATCACTGAGGGATCCTCTATGCATTCGATTTCATTAAGCATCATTAGACGTGACTGAGCGCACGTCTAGCCTTTTACAGTAACTTGCGCTGCTTACTGTTGCATTGAGTCGGAGTTGTGTTCCTCCCAGAGCAGTCTGGTACCAATTTGCCGACCCCAGAGGGATGCAGGGCTTGATGAGCATGGAGCGTAGGATCGACCCCATGTTTAGTGCAGAACGCCTCTAATCGCTGCATCCATTGATCAGCCATAAGCTTATAAAACACTGAAGTTGTCCAAAACAGCCGAAAGTCATCATGTCCCGCTCTACTGCGTAATGATTTCGTTTCAAAATGGAACGGTTCTTGTCACATCACTGCTTATTTGAACATAATGAGTAGAAAGCAATAGCAAACCCAGACATTTCTAATAATTCTTAGGCAGAAACCACGTGGATATTTTTTGATGAGTAGTTATAGAAAGCGATACTTTTGGAGGATCCCAAATTACTTTCATCACTTGTACCTAGCTTTATGTTGAATTTCTCATGGTTTTCTCAAGCGCCGTCGATCGGATCATAAACAACTACAGTTTAGTTTCTGAAAAATGTGAGCCGGTCAGGTCCTACAGCAGGTCAATAGCGGTCATCAAAAAACGATGTAAAAAAAGTTCGATGGAAGCAGGTCGTTTTGGAAATTAGCCATAGTGGACAAAGGCGATTGGTCGTATAGAGAAGCAAATTCCTAGGAATAGCATAACGGCGGGCATGAGACTATGGCGAAAACTAAACGTCCTTTTGGTAAATGACCTATTCTGTCAGGTATTTTATGCAATCACCCAGTTATAAGAACATTTGAATTTCAGCTATCTAATGTCTTTTTTTTCTCACAACGGTTTACCGTCGCATCGTGGCTAGGTGTTCTTGGGTGTTGGACTGCGATGTACAGCCCTGGATTCATTCCCTAGCAGGGACTCCCAAGCTGAGGAGTCCGACATTTACATCAGAAAGCCTAACCAGCTGTAAACCAATACCAAAATCGACCACCGCCCTGGTATCAAAGTTGCATGGTAGCAAATCTCCTCCTGATCCACAAGAGCTGCGACTGCCTGTGGTGGTGAAGACCTGGGGCAGGATTTGGCCAGGCCGACCTCGGGATTCCAGGTAACCACAGCAACTGGACCAGCAAATATCCGAAAAATGGAGTATATACTGGGGCCCGCACAACCAATAAGGACGGGTCATTCAAGTACCATCAAGTAATGCCTTTTTAATGCAATGGTTGTTTGTTGTGAATACGTTGATGATCCCTGAGACTGTTTCTAATTCTAATTCGATGTGTTGTTTCAGTCATTCGTTATGCATTTTCATTTCGAAGTTGAATCGAAATATAGAGCTTCGACAGAAGTGTTATTTCCATTTCACGCATGGAATTCACCGCTTGTCACCTTGAAAAGTCCATCTCAATTTACTGAGACGACGATTATGATTCATTATGAGTAGGTGTGAGCGATAAGTAACAGAGTGGATATCAGCTCATTTACATACAAGTCCACCTGAGTCACCGAAGTGATGTCCTGTTGACGCTGAACTACACTGCACCAAACATCTCTATCATTACAGAGCTCCATTCTTATCAACTGTTTCATTCACACAAAAATCCGCTACTGACTCACCAAAGACGAACACGAAGGAATAGCATGCATAACCGAAATGTCTATCGAACCAGACAGCATGAAATGCTTTTGAAGCTGAACTATACTGCATCAAGCGTCTCTATCATCACAAAGCACCTGTCGACGTTTCCACGGTCGTTGTCGTTCTGCCAGTTATGTAACACGCCCAATGGTGCGCACGGCATACTCGATACGGTCAGCATAGATGTTTTTGAAAAGCCAACGAAAAATGAATTGTTTCTGTCCGTAGACATCCAAATTTCGCTGTATGTACTTTTACTTTCAGTGTAATTTTCAACAGAGTTGCAGAGTTGAGAGTTGTAGGGCTACAATGGAAATTGAAATCAGTGGAAATGTAAACAAACAGCACCTACTCTACAAGATGTAGAGAAAAATTCATCGGAAACAACGACAAAGAATATGAGGCACACACTTCTTAAGAAACTAAGTGAAAGCGGAACAAAAACAAAATCCGTAAATATGAAATCCTGAGGAATGAAAAACAACAATGCGTATTATTACAAGGACTGTATTCCTATGAGGTTTCAGGAGCAATGACTTGGACAGCTTTCGGTTCGATGAGAAAGCCGGTACGATAGCCAAATTCCGGAAAGCACCTTCGCATGACGTTGTCCCATTCCGCTCTTTTGACGTCGTTGCTGAATTCGAAAAAGACTTCTCAAGCGGCTCATCCACTTCACATTTGAAATATTATGCTTTACAATATTGCTGAGATATTTGAAAAACTCTAGACCGAAGGTGTCTGCGATGGGGAACGAACGCGCTATTGTCCTTTCCGGGGAGTAGCGCGTTCACCATCACACCATGCGGCTCCTTCGTTTCGTCTGTCTGGTCCTGTTCTCTTAGCTAGTTCTATCGATCTCTGCCATCAGCAATCGCCCGTTAACGGGATTGATCTGGAGCCCACATCGGCATTAACTGGGTTGAATGTGATAGTGTGGTGGTGAACGCATTACTCCCCGGAAAGGACAATAGAGCGTTCGTTTCCCACCGCAGACACCTGCGGTCCGAAGTTTTGCAAAAGTTTTGTTTTTCTATGGAAGTAAACGTATGCTGTTTAAAAACCTCGCGATTGCTGAACAAGAAAACGACGCATTTATAGTCCAATGCCGAGGTTAAGAGAAAGTCGATCCTGGGAACTATCTCAGCAATATTGTGCTTGTATTTCGCTTAATACCCTGCCATAAAATTATAGAAGGCAGAAAATAAAAAGTAAATATTATGTTTTACGTTACTTGATACTTTTCTTGAAGCCAATGGAACCTCGAGAAAAGACTTTCATAGTTTTTCTCTTAAATTAAAAAGGAAGGGAAGTGACGCAAGTATTAAGAGACTAAGAAAGCGATCACCTGATGTCAACTGGATCCATGTCTTCACCATGAGTAAGTATACAATGTTTTCGCATTCCAGGCTTTCTAAACAAAACCAAAATAACCCCATAAACAAGCAACTTATCGTTGAAAGACTAGACTCGGCATTGAAAAAATAACCGGTAGTCCTGGAAGTCGCAAGAGCGGCACTTATACGGTCGGAACGACGAGTGCATTGCCATCACATGCATCTGCAAGTTCCATCGACCACCTCGTGGTGCCTTTACTCTTGTACCACATATCTAGACGAAATCACTGATAAACAGTATTGCCTCCGAATTCACTTCTCCAGATCATCAGTGAACCAAGTGAAAATTGTGGGCACTTACAAACCCCAGAATTCCGGGAATTGCCTACTGAATCATACCGACACCCTGCACCGAAAAGTGAGAATGAGGATGTGAAACTGCTCAAATATAACTGCTTAGACGCGATATAAAAATGCAGTGAAAAATGAAACAGGACTGTGTTCCTAGTCTTAAATTCTTTCTTCCGAGTCTTAGATCCGTGCAACCATCGATTTGAACTGTCACTAATGAGATCGCTTTTAAACACTTCATATCGGTTTCTACTGCGTAATTTTTTGGTTTCACCTTTAGTTTTTAGCTTCGACGCAAGAAATCTCCACGACTTGAATAACGAAGTCGTTTTTTTATTTTCGGTGAACTATTTTTATGGGGTTGTCTATTTCATGAAGATGCGATTACTATAAAAAGAATGATCGAGCTAACTTGGCAGGTGTGGTAATCCTTGTTCGGGTCGCCATTCGAAGCGCGAGACCTCTTTGCCGTGGGCGGAGACGTCTCACGGGGCGGACTACTCACCAAGCAATGCGCTTGAGCCAGTAGGTCTAGATGAGCTGGAATTCACCTCTTGACAAAGTTGAACATGAACCGCATAGTTCAAGACCGTTGGCCAAGCGAATCCTTCTACAACTGTCATATGAAAACAATTTAGCTTAAAGAAATCTTAGTTAGTAATCAATCGTTATGCAATAGTCGATCTACAAACATATAGATTTTAACCCCTTTCACTTGTTTACATTAGTAAAGGATTTTTCTGGACATTTTCTTGAACCATGTAAAAACAGGGCAATAGAAAAGAAATTACTTTGGCTGGTCGAGGCGAAATCGAAATTAAATGAGTGTTCCTCATTGTCGGCGAAGGACTCTTCAACACAATCCTAAGCAAACAAAGTGTTCAGGTAGTGGCAGTTAAAAGACAACATGAATTTTTAGATGACTTGGTATAGGACAGCTAATAGATCTATGACAAAGTTACTCTTCTCTAATGTAACATTGCAACTCACCGACACCTCATCTTTAACTCTGACGTTAATGATCTCTGGATTGGAACAGGCCAGAATTTCGAATAGGTCACTTTCCTTGTTAGAATCGTCCAATCCGCCTCCTAATAAATTCTTCGGCTTGGTAGAAAGGATATCTCTGAAACGTTCTGATCACTGAAATATTCATGAATGCCTAGTCACTCACGAATTTAGCCACGAATAAATGTTTATTATTGCCTATGAAACATTGTTTTTCCTGACTCGTCAACATTTTCCGTAGATTTAAGTAGTCCCTAGGTCAAATTTTCACAGAAACAATTTTGTACGATTTTCAACTGCTTTTTGAAAATGATGCCTCGTTGGCTCATATTAATTTCCCAACTATCGTTTTCCAGGACAGATCCACAACTTCCAAAATAAGCAAACTAGTAGTGACTACGGTTCCAGAAAAGTGAAGGTGTAAAACCTTTGTACCACTGGTAGTACAACATCGTCTGTGACCACGTTACAACTACGCTACGTTGGCAAAAAGCGCAACAAAGATTGTGTGTGAAATCGACAATTTCATGTTACGTCTCTCATTTTACCAATTCCTTTGAAAGAAATTCACTTGCATCACCACCCATGGTCCCGTTAATCACCAAGTACTTTGAATGAGCACCAATAGATTTCATGTGACTGTGTCGCGCATAGAGTTACATAAGAAACGTAACAGCATCATACTCTTGGTGAGATGAAGTTTTTTTTCTTGGGAAGAAAGTAAGTACGGGAGGCTCGCAAGACTTTAACGTGATACAAGTCCACTTCTATGTTTGCTTCCGGATGAAAGTGTCGAGTTCTCAGTTGGTCATAGCCTATTGGTGAATGGATTTACCGTTGTGTATGTTGCAGTGGAGACATGTAGATAAGTGGTTAGATGTGCCCTGAATTACACGTACGGTAGGCTGCTCGATCCCACTTCTTAGGCTACTAAGCCTTCCACCAGGAGTTTACAAATTGATACCAGACATGTGTTCCAGAATAAAAGCACTGAATCAACACACTGGAAGCTCACCGCTAGCCATTATGGGCCAAAAAATGTATTTACCCAACTCTAACGATGCTTAATGAAGTGAGATGTATATCCGTCAAAGACTGATGAACACCAAACACTCAATCCTTTATCACTACTTATCAATCTTCTGGAACGTCTCTCGGTTAGGATGAGGTGGCGAAACACTGTTGAAAAAGCGGAAACGAAGGAGATGACGAAATCATGATAAACAAAGAAGAGCGTGCCGACAAGAACAAGTGGGTGAAGTGATGGAAAGCAGAATTATATTAGAACTGTGATGAGCCTGAGCGTTTTCGACAGAAATTTCCTAGAACTTGAACATGGATCTAAATATGGAATGCAAATAAGAACATGCCACAGCGCTTACCGTACTTTTCACTAGTGGAACCAGAAGTGTAAACTTTCAAACCATTCCTGGATCAAGATACGACACATCGGAACGAAACGGAAACAGGTACGGAGTCAGCGATATTTTAAAAAATGAGCTGTCATGTAAAAAAGTTAAAGCGAATAAGTAGCAGACGAGTATTTAAAGCATATCCCACCATTCTTGGTGGCAACGACAAACGCAAACAGCTCATAGCAACATGAGATTACAACGTTAACCTTTTATTTTCTGCCTGCTATAATTTTTCATGGTAAGGTATGACGTGAAATTCAATCATAACGATGCTCAACGAGTGATTCTTGATAGCAGCGCTAGGTAAAAAACTAGCTGAGAGAAACGCAAAGCAAGGGCCTCCGTGGTGCAGTGTGTAATGTGCGTGTCCCCGGAAAGTGTAATCGTGGTTCGGTCTGGCCCTGTGTCCAACTTTTGCGAATGTCTCAGCATCGTTATGGTTGAATATGAGATAGTTGACTAGTAAACTGATACGAGGTTGTACCAGAAAATATCTCTGATATGAATCACAAAATCACACTTGCACTAACTCTCTACAATTAAGGTTGAGCACACACCGATCCCGGGTCCAAGATCTCAGTAAAAAATACGTTCGAAATTTGATGTGAAAAAATATAGAAGCAGTGTGAAGAGAAAAAGAATGATAGTGAATATGAGACTGCATACGTTTACTGAAGGGAAACATCTCAGGACCCAAATGGTTCATGAAGCTTTCACTTCAGAAGGCATGTGTACCTTTGGTCTTTTTGTCTAGTTTTTTACTCCGTTACCATTTAGAGGAGCTGTCGCTGAGCCGGATTATTCTTCCGAAGCACTGTGGAGTGTTGTTAACATACTGAATCTACATCACCAGAACAAACGAATACATATTCCCTTCATTGAGAACATTAAGCATATCCATCCCTATTCTGCTCATTAAACTCGTTATCTGATCCTCTCCGCATTTGCGAAAATAATAAATATTTTAGTTGAGTGATAGGCGAAAAGAACCCGCACCAGGTTAGCCCCCAAAAAGGGTAATAACGTGTTCGATCCCTACCGCATACACCTGTGGTTCGGAGTTTTCCAAATATCTCAACATTATTGTGGTTGTATCTTGCATAATACCCTGCAGTGAAAATTTTAGTAGGCAGCAAACAGAAAGTTAACGTTAATAAGAATTGTTTTCTAATTTATAAACCTCAAACAAACATGAACACCATCATTATGAAATAGGACGACCTGCTTTAACAGAAAAATCTTACTTTCGTGCAGAATTTAAAATACAGATAGAGTTTAAAAAGCTCGAATATACAGCCCCATATTTTCACGCCAACTATTTTGCGTCCATAGTACCTTGCTTTCGTTTTGGGTCACTTCACCAGCATTTCCAACATGAATTTAAATTCGAACACAAAGAATCAAGAACGGCAGCCAATTTACAAATGCCGTTTGGCCAAGAAGCCTTAGTGCTCACTACCGTATTGCTATGAAAAGCTTCATGACGGAGATGAGAACCTTGAAAGTTAGTAGAATGTGGTGGGCCAATTGTCATCCACGACGACCAGACGATATTTTAAGCAGGACTAGACACTGTTAGAAAGCTCACAAAAGAGGTAGACGTGGATTACAAACGATGTTGATATAACATAAACAAATTAAAGGGGTGACAAAGAACTTCACGAAATTTAAAAGCATGAATTGAATGAACGACAAGACAAACCACGCCATGCGATCTGACTTTTGTGCAACAATGACAATCTACTGCTTAGTCGTATTTTGAAATATTACTAAAATCAGATTGTGTAAGACGATAGAGAATGTTCTGCGCAAAGCTGGACGAATATGAAGCTCCTAACCAACTTCTAAAACCGGAATTTCGTCAGAAGAAAGTCACGACAACTTCTCCACTTGTCTGATGGAACTATATAACAGGCTTGAACAAACTCTAAATCGCTACATTAGAAGAGTACTTCCAGGAAATCGATAAAGTATTTCGTCAAGAGCCGTAAATACTGCGACCGGCACCTCAACCGTAATGGGCAAACCCGCGTTTCATAAGTGCTGGTTCTGCAATGAAATGAGTAGGACTATGACATTCAGTCTCATCCGTTTTTTACCACATCTATCACGAATGGATCACCATTTTTACTTCCTTCCAGAGACGACATTTATCAATCAACAGGCGGACAAAAAGCTTTAGACTATCGGACCAAAAGATCCGAGCTTTCATCTGGAATGTCTGAAATTGTAAGAGACCTAGAAAAAAAGAGTTTAGATTCCTAACATTTTTTACTTCGGCTGTTAAGGTCGCATATGGAAGTTATTTCGAAAATTTACGAAACATTCAAAAGCTTTCGAATATTAAATCACTGTGCCAACGTTTTCCTCGTCTGATTACCAAAAGCACTCTTTTTTCTCGTTTTCTTCTTCACCTTTTTCAAGAAAAACCCTAGAAATCTGCACTTTTGTGTTACAAGGAGCAACTGTACGTAATTTCTGCAGCATACTAGAGGTGACAAGAAATTCGAGGTAGTAACATGCAGAAACGGTGGTGCCTCGGAAAAGCCTGTTCTTCGGGAATCACAATCGCTGGCTAACTGAGGAAATGTACTGGATGAGCAACGGCTTAAACCTTATTCTTTGTGAAGCACTTTGCGTACATCCAACTAGAGTTGCGGGCAGGAGAATAATCGGAGGAAATAACAATCTTAGTTATTGCATTGTGTACAACGTTTGTCAACTGTAGCCGAAACAGAGTGTTATACACTATAATGAATGTTAAAAAAAAATGAAGGACCTTCTTAATTCCATAAAAATTAAAAGGGTTTTCAGCTTAGAATTAACACGACTAGAAGCAGAATTTCGAACTGGAGACTTTCACAACTGTTAACTTAAAAAAAAGCAGTGCAGTATTAGAAGACAACTCACCTAAGCGAGCTTTTTTCAATTTGGAAACCCGGCTCAGAACTGGACGGTGTTGAAGGCTCCGTGATGATGGGCAGCTGAGGTTGCTGACGATGTGTCAAGGCAGGATGCTTGCTGAGGTCGTCGAGCAACATCAAACGTGCGAACCCTCGTTCCAGCTGCAATTCAGGGCCTCGGATTTTGGGGACGAAAAGCGTGAAGTGCGGGATCGCAGAAGCTCACCATTAGCTGGACCAGTTCCACGGCAGCATTGTTGTCGTCTACTTCGACCACCAAGAACTTGGCGGACATCTGAAAGAGCTCGCTCGATAGAGAACCTAGGGTTTCGTCGATATTCGCGATCACAGATGAATGCGTACACAGCCGCAAGAATCTTCATGAACTTAACGCGTGTGAAAAACCTGAGACTACTATAAAGAGCAGTCCTTCCTAACACTAATTTTACGGCTGGGCAACTTAGATGGATAGTTGAAGGTGTAGAATATCGATCAATAAGAATCAAGACTGGCCCCAGAACGGGTCGCAGTTCTGCAACGAGCGGTATGACCTCGAAAAAGAAGGGCTAAAAAGCGCCATGAAGCGATTTTACGGCACACCTAACTGAATATCGGAAAACCCTTTAAAAAATTGTGAGAAATTCGTGCATTTCTGGGAAAGTAAGCACCTAGTGTCTAAGTGATTACAGCGTTGTTTAGGAAAAAAAGACATCGATTTTTTGTTGAGAAAAAAAGATGTTGTTTTAGAATATAGAAGAATGTGAAAACGCATTGGAATAGTACCTTGGAGGACGGCGGGAAGGTGAGAAAGACAAGATGTAGGGCGGACTCACTCCTAACTGGGGCACCGAGGCGGTTATAAGTGGGACGACTGTCGGGCCGGCCGACGCTAGAACTTGCAAGGAGAAAGACTCGTCTTCCACGTACTGTGTCCTCGTGGAAACCCGTATCGGCAGCACTAGAGGCACATAAAAAAACAGCGAGGGACAGATTTCTTCCGCTATGAGCTTCTCACTGGTAATTCCATTTGGCTAACTTCCCAGACAAGACAGTAACGTTATCCAGCAAGCTGTCAGTATAAATACCATTCCAGATGACTTGTTTATGGCACCGACGAATAATCGAGAACAACAAACAAAGTAAAGAATGCCACGAAAAAGGAATTGCGGTTGAACCTCAAACAGAATGTCTAATTTGTACACCTTTTAAAGTTCAAAATTCCATCTTGTTATGCGCACCCTATCCATGCTTCGCAGCAGTCCCACTCTACAGTGATTTATCACCTTATTGTTTTTCCCACCAAGAAACTTTCAACCATTTCAGCAGTACTTTTAACCAGCTTCGTAATCAAACATGCTGTCTGTGCAATTCGAAATTAGAAATCAGCTGGCGATTCTCAGCAGATGGTCTAAAGCAACACTTAATAGACTGAGGGAAATCGGTAACGCAACTACGTGGGCACAGTGGTGATGACCCGTCTCCCTCGGCTGCTGTCGAGTTGATGGGCGCCGCCCGGACACGGAAAATTGCATGGGCGCCCAGGACGAGTCCAGATTGCCGAGAAAGTGAGATGAGGGAGGAAGCAGGCAGTGGTGGAGCAGTAGAAGCGCCGGAGATAAGGTGCAGTCAAAGCTGCTTTATCAACAACGAACGATGTTCCCTAGAGAACTAACGTAACACAACGTAACAAGAGGACTACAGACGGAACGCTCTGCGACATGGCTGTCATCACGAAATCACTTAAGGCGTCTGCTAGTGGAACAGCAAGTGTAAAGAAAAAGGCCGTTTTTCATTATAAGCACAAAGGGTCGAGCTCCAATCCAGAGTGGGAACTTTTTTCTTTGTATTCTAGAAATTAATGCCGTGAAATACGATGAAATATGAATGTATAATAATAAAAGGATAACTTCTAACGGGCATTTTTACTTGACTTTTTCCATAGTTTTCTATTACCTGACGCTGTTGTTTCTAAATATAGTAACTATTAAAACCTGCCCGAATACGATCGGTGATATCTCGACTCAGATGGCTAAATTGGAAATCAAGAAAATTTCATGGATTTGGGAACTGCGAAAATTGAAGAGGGATTTTGAAAAAGCTTAACTTAGGTCGGTGGCTAAATGAGCCAAATAGTGACAAAACATATCTTTCAGAAAACAAAGGAAGCGTAGGGATATATGGACTATCCATCAAGATGTCTGCCGACGAACATGAACCAAAAATCGTGAATATCAGGAAAAAATAGTGCACAGTGAGCCATTTTGACGGTCGAGAAGGAATGCACTCCCTAAAAAAATGTGGTAGTAGAAATCCACAAAGCATTAGATTGGAGGGGATGAAGTGCATAGAAAATCGCCTCAGTATTTCATCTAGCAAGTGTTCATTTTAAAAACACCGCCTTGTACTGGCATGTCCGTACGAAGAGATGCGAAAACAAAGAAGAATTACTCTTTAGCTCATAAAGGATATGCACTTTGGTTAACACTGCCGACTTAGCTCTGTTGTGAAGAAATTATAGAACACCGGACGGGCTGGGCAGACAAACTGCGAGGGTGAAGGACCAAGGGCGCCCGATCGATGTACTGGGGACGAGAGACGCGGTCCTGCGAAGCCTGCGCGCGGAGACGCAGACTCGGGCCGCCGAGTTCTTCGGCGAGAGCGCAGTACTTCGCGGAGGCGCAAGCGGTCCTGGGACGAGAGGGAGCCGGTCCTACTGGCACATCCTGATAAGACGCAGGTGATGCCGAGCGCGCTGTTCGGAAAATTGCAGTACTATGTGGAGGTACGATTGGTAACACATGATCGTAACTGGTTCTTCAGGGACATTCAGAACCATACCAACGCCCCGCAGCGCAACACAGCCGCACCTAGCGCCTGCTTGCTGCGTGCTCGAGACAACAGTCGTAGATAAAACCAACTACGCTACTAGGGACACGGAAATTTCTGGAAACTACAAATGTACAATTTAAACGAAGTTATTCTACACGAAAGTTTTCAGCCTAGATGCGCTGTGATATAATTTTTTAATCAGGTTTCTAAATGACTTTCCTCATTTCTTAGTCCTTCTTGTTAATGTCTCAATTCGAGCTATATAATAACGTTGCATAATTGACAAACTACAAGGACGGGGTTGTCAGTTGAGTTTTCGCCATATATTTTTTTAAAATATAAGGGATAGAGCGCTTGGTTTTAATCAATCCTTTAAAGATGCATCGTGCATTCGTCTACACTATTAGCATAAAGGAAGCGGGTAGCGTAGTGGCAGTGCTGTTCCTTCGATGCGAGCAAGACAATAATTCCACCTTACCGCAGGCTCAGCAAAGCTCCCATTAGCTCGACCAGCATTCATCGGCATTTATAAACAAAATGGAAATCTTTAGACAGAAGCTATACTCATACGCAAAAACTCGAAGACCTTCGCTGATGATATGTTGAAAACCGTGCAATAAGTGATATCAAGTGATGTAGAAAACAAAATTAGAGTAGAAGTGATTGAATGCACATTTTACCTTATAGCAACACTTGGAGCATCCTACTAAAGTAAAGTGTCAGACGTTACCTTTTCGGAAAAGCATGGCAACAATTTGCCGAACCTGGATGAAGACGTGACTTCGTTAGCCCGGTGTGTGTGATTGGACTAGCAGCCATGTGTGTATTGCTGGACACCTCTGACTACTGCGCTGAACGCGTTAGGCGCTTATGACTTGCGTTTCTTATGATTAGAAATGCCAGCTCACCTTTCAGCCAACTACCGATGTTTCCTCAGTTTTTAACCTTTTCATGGGCATGCGCATTGATTTTGATATGTACGCTGCTGCAAGTTTCGGACCATATATCTTGACTTCAAAGCGAACGCTTTTTTTTAGGTTATTTCACCTCACAGAGCTTCTTGGCAATAGTTTTTGCAATTAATCGGTGGTTCGTCGAAAACACATTGGAGTTGATTCATGGATAGGTGATCTCATTAAACTATACCATCAAAGTGCCGTTTTCGGACGAGTTATCTCGTTCGATCGAATTTCCGCCGCGGGTATGCTTGTTGGTTGTTAGTACTACAATAGTAAAGATTGGAAACTGGGAATACTTTACGCTTACGAAAAGGCGGCATATCACTGAGGAGAGTTTTCTAAAGATATATATATATATATATATATATATATATACAGTGTAAAGAAAGCTTGTGCTTCACCAAGGTCCGCTTTGATCAGTGAGCAAACTACACCCCTAGGAAGGCAACTCGTCTCAAACCCTTATCATATATTTTTGTCGCAGACAGTGTAAATGTTTGACTTATAAATATTTATTTTACAATGTACGAAGGAGGAATTAGGAACTATATTAGAGGAAATTTATATGGAGGTATTTGTAGTACATAGCAGGTGTTAGGGCATGTAGAACGGAGTGGCATGTAGAGTACGCATTCATTCACGAATGTATAGGGTACTTCTTCGGAAAGAATGCATTCTTTTCACCCATATTTTCATGAGAGCTCACTAATGTTACAAATCTTTTATTTCTCTTTTATTTCCTATTTTATTTGATCCGTGTTCACGTCTACTGTGCGGATCCCAGCACTTCTCGCATCCATTGTCCACGAAGATCTTCCAGCTTTTACGTGTGGCTTCCATTGCTGCTTGAGGATTTTCATTTCACCTTGAATATCGTAGAATTCTGCTCGAGCAATTCTTCCTGGAGTCCTGTGATAAACGGGATGGAGCGTTCTTAATTTGATTGCAGAGAGTGTTTTTTCCCAGACAAGTCCAGCACCAATTCCCCAACTCCGGAGGGAAGACAGGCTTGGCTGGTGCGGAACGGAATCAAACTAGCACCACGCTCGTAACGACGGGCACAACTACCACTTTGCTATCCGCCCTTTGGATTATAATTAATTACAAAAAAGCTACTGTTAGCCATTTAGGAGGTAGTCGCGTTAGTTCTATCAAAATTATCTTTAGTTAATGTCTCTGATATGAATAAAGTATGTCAATGCCATTTTTGGAACTGTGCTATCCGCCTCTCTCTGCCTCTTTACAAATCTTTTACGTAAAATATTTATTTGGCCATACTTCTTCTTACAACTTGTGTGATTACCAGCTCTACAATATTGTGCAAATAACTGACCTTTCTTGTATAAAACTTTTTTTACTTCGATATTTCGACGACCCGTCCTCACTGTGCGGGCTCCAGAACAATCTCCATTGTTTCAGAGTTTTACTGGTTTAGCCACTGTGCTTCCTCGGAATCCCGAGGTCAGCTTGCCCGAAGTTCGTCCCAGGTCCTCACCAACACAGGCTG